ATGCCATACTCTGTAACTGTTGGTGACTTTAATAACGATACTTATCTGGACATCGTCGTCGCTAATACAGATGACAGCACTGTAAGCATCCTTCTTGGATATGGTAATGGCTCGTTTGCAAATCAAAAGACGTATTCAACTGGCTCTGGACCATCATCAGTAGCTATTGGTGACTTTAATTATGATACCATACTCGATATCGTCACCACTAATTTCGGTGACAACACGGTAAGTGTACTTCTCGGAAATGGCGATTGTTCTTTCGCTAATCAAACGACATACTCAACTGGTTCTGGCCCACACGCTGTCGCTGTTGGTGATTTTAACCACGATAATCGAACGGATCTTGCCGTTGCCAATTTTAATAACAACACTGTGAGCATACTACTTCGTTATGATCGAGGTGCTCTGAAAGATAAAGTCACATTTGCGAGTAGCGATGGTTCTCGTTTACAAAGCTTTGCCGTTTTTTATCTAAATAATGACAGTCTATTGGATATTGTCGTTGCTAATTACGGTACTAATAGCATAGGTGTCCTTCTTGGCTATGGGAATGGTACTTACGGAAAACAAATCGTGCTCTCAACAGGCTTAAATTCTCATCCTTACGCAATAGCTATCCATGACTTCAATAGAGACGGCCGAGTAGATATAGCCGTAGCTAATTATGGCACGAAAAATCTTGTTACATTTCTGGGAAATGAAAATGGAGCATTTGAAAATCAAGCCAGTTACGGTATAAAATTCGATTTTTATCCGGTGGCGATTAGTACTAGTAGTTTGAATCAATATGAACGTTCAGAAATTTTCGTTGCATATGATGGTATTGATTACATAGATGTGTTTATCACATACAACCTTGGATCTTTCAGTCATGACATTAAATATTCAACTGGCAGTTGGCCTAGATCCGTAGCTCTGGGTGATTTTAACAAAGATACCTATTTGGATATCGTTGTTGCGAGTCAGTGGAGCAATACTATCAGTATTCTTCTTGGCTATAGCGATGGTTCCTTTGCAAATCAAACACAATATTCCACTGGCTATGAGCCTTGGTCTGTAGCTGTTGGTGACTTTAATAATGACACTCATCTGGACATCGTTGCAGCTAATTATCAGGAGAACACTGTAAGTATTCTTCTCGGATATGGTAATGGTTCTTTTGCGAATCAAACAAAATATCCAACTGGTTTTGGACCACACTCTGTAGCTGTCGCTGACTTTGATAATGACAATAAACTAGATATTGTGGTTACTAACTGGCATGGCAAAACTATAAGTATTTTACTTGGATATGGTAATGACTCTTTTGTAAATCATAGAAAATATGCAACAGGCTATCTACCACGGCCTGTAGCTGTTGGTGACTTTGACAATGACAGTCATCTGGATATCGTCATCGGTAATTATGGTGACAATACTGTAAGCATTCTTCTCGGATATGGCAATGGTTCTTTTGCAAATCACATAATTTGTTCCACTGGTCCTCGGCCAGGATCTGTAGCTGTTGGTGATTCTAACAATGACACACAGTTGGATATTGTCATTGCTAATTATGGTGATAACACTGTGAGTATTCTTCTCGGACATGGCAATGGTTCTTTTGCCAATCAAATGAAGTATTCAGCTGGTTCCGGCCCACAAGCTGTCGCTGTTGGTGATTTTAATAACGACAACAAACTAGATATTGTCGTTACTAACTGGAACGATAACACTATGAGTATTTTACTTGGACGTGGTGATGGTGTTTTTAAAAAACAAATAATATATGCCACTGGCATCAGTCCTTCATCTGTCGCTGTTGGCGATTTTAATAAGGACAGTCAATTAGATATCGTTGTCGCTAATCTTAATATGAAAAGTGTTAGTGTATATCTCGGATATCTAAAAGAAGGTTTCCTACAACAAACAAAACTTATAACAGGCAATGGATCCCGCCCCAAGTCATTTGCCATTGGAGATTTTAACAAGGACGGCCGGATTGATGTTGCAGTGGCAAATTCAGGTACGAATAATATCGGTATTTTTCTGAGATATGACAATGATTCTTTCACAAATCATATAACATATTCAACGGATTCTTCACCACGGTCAATATCTAAAGGTGATTTCAATGGTGATACAATACTCGATATTGTTGTTGTGAATCGTGATAGTGACAACATTGGTGTATTCCTTGGACATAGTAATGGATCCTTTTCAAGTCAACAGACCTTTACGACTGGTTCTAATTCTCGACCGAACATGGTAACTGTTGCCGATTTTAACAATGACACTTTACTGGATGTAATTGTTGCAAATTATGGAACAAACAATATAGGTGTATTGCTCGGTTATGGAAATGGCTCGTTTCAAAACGTCAAGCCTTTTTCGACTGATTATGGATCTCATCCATTCTCAATTTCTGTCGGTGATTTAGACGGCGATGGAAAGTTGGATTTCGTCGTTGCTAATGAAGGTGACGAGAACTTGAATATTTTTTTACAAACTTGCTAATATTGACACTTTAGACTTATGATTGCTTTCTATCGATTCACCATTTCTAATTTTAACTTTCTTCTACTAATATTTCTTTTAACTATTTTTCTGTGTAGATATGCAGAAAATTAATAAATCTTATATAACGATAAGCAGTATGAATGCGTCTTTCGATCCTATTCTGGGTCCTTGCCCGATGATTCAAAAAAATGTATGTTTTCATGTGATATTGTGGTC